GCTAGTTTTATGTCAGTTTCACACAAGCTAGAGGCATCAGAGAGGAGGCAGCCTCAATTGAGAAAATGCCTCCATAATATCAGGCTGTAGGCAAGCCTGTAGGGCATTTTCTTAACTTGTGATTGATGGGGGAAGGGCCCTGACCATTGTGGACAGAGCCAGCCCTGTCCTGGGTTCTGTAAGAAACCAGGCTGAGCAAGCCCTCATGAGCAAGCCACACCCTTCCATGCCCCTGCATCAGCTCCGGCCCTCACTGCTTTTGATGAAGAATTGTTATCTAACACTGTTGAGTAAAATAAACCCTTTCCTCCCCAAGTTGCTTTTTGGTCCTGGTGTCTCATCGCAGCAATGGAAACCCAAACTGAGAGAGTCAGTTTGTTTCTGAAAGGCAACTGCTACGTCGTTCTCCATCCCCAGCCCCCAGAGAGGCTCCAGAAGCCAGAGCACCAATACAGAAAAAGAAAACACAAGGTTAAGACACTAGGGACGGGAATCAAGGACTTTATGTAAAAGTGACCGTCCTCACTGGGCATCTTCCCATGCCCTTTGAATCCTGCATTATGTGACTCAACTACTTACTGAAGTCAGTACTGTAATCTAGAAAGGATGTCACCACCAGGCCTGAGTGCAGACACCACACGGCTCAGTGTTGTTAGGCACAGAATGCAAGTAACTTATGGCCATTATGAGGAACACAGACTAGGCAGAACTTAAGGACAGATACTCTGGGCGTCCTCAATGGTATAGCTTAGAGAGACATAAAGTGAACTCTTTAATTTGCTTTTTTTCTACCAGCTCCAGACACCCACGATACTAATAAGTTTATATCTAAAACTAATCAGCAATTCCATTTTTATTATTTAAACACACACACATATCTTTGTTGGAATTATCTAGTGCTCCTTTAACAAAGCTTTTTGAGGGAGGAGTACACACATATTTATTGCATTTCTAAAACTGAATAAACATTTTTAGGATTCAAAAAGAGCAATACCTGAGCTACTAGATCGGCACCAAGGGGCCAGATTACACTTAAAGATACCAAAGACAAGTAAGATAGACAAAGTAACAGTTCGCAGGGTACTAGATGTCAGGCAAAAATAAAAAGCATTACTCGCTACAACACGTAAATGCCCATCAATCACTAAATGGATAAACTGTATCCACATAAGGACAAAAACAAAAAGAGCCCGGACTTAAGGCTCATACAGAGTTGCAGGGTACATGAATCTCAAACATGTTGAGTGCTAAACCCTTTCCCCCCCAAAGTTTACACCATGTCAGCCCATTTATAAAAAAATCTGTGGGCAAATTTATATATAACTAATATGACAGGGAACACCAGGGGTCATCTAGGGATGGGGACAGTGAGCAGGGCTACAGAAACCTAGGAGGCAATTCTTTAGAATCTGTCTGACGAGGTAATGGGTTCCTGGGTCTGGACAAATGTGGATTTACCTCGTGCTAATTATACCCCAAGGGAGCTTTTTAAAAGTAAAAAGACTTACATTGTATCAAAACCTTGGAAGACAGCAAATTCACTGAGAATAAGACTTGGGTCTTTTCTGAGGCAGGCACATGCCGCAAGAGTAACCTTCAAAATTATCCAGGCAACTGTAAATTGTCTATCAGTCCTCAAAGCTGATAACAGGTGGGGTCAGTTTCCTAGGGTTACTAGAGGATAAGGAAACACATAAAGCTCACACTGGCCCCTTTTGTCTGGGCTCCTCCTCTGTCCTTGGCATACCACAGAGCTATGATGCTTCTGTTTGCGTGAGCAGGCAGAGTCAAGGCTCCAAACAATAAAATATCTGTATTCCTGCCTCTCTCTTGCCTTGAGCAAAGGCACAATTTACGTTGGAAGACGCAAACTGACCCTAACTGATACTGGATATAACCAAACGACAAGGAAAAGTTACTAAAATTGACTCTGTTAACAAAATTGTCTATGTCAGGAAAGGAAAGTGAGTTAAGCCTTTTGCCTGTGTGCCCTAAAAGAGAAACCTCATCAAGTCCTACTTATAATTAGTATACTAGCAACTGCTGAGATGAAGAAAGACAGCCTCGGCACCATAATTAAACACTGGAAGATACTAAAAAAAGAAGTTCATTCAAGCCTGCTGCTTGGAGACCAAACTTCAGAAAATTACTCATCTCTCAGTTCCAGAAAGCTTATTTGAAAAAAAAAAAAACATATTCCTGTCAACAATAAAATATTGGCATGCTTTCCTGATTTACAAAATGACTATGGGTAGGTGTTTTAGTCTATACAACATGTTCTAAGAACTTTATAAAGATTCTGGAATACAAGTCGTTATTCATAAAGGCCATGTAAACACTAGCCTCAGTCCTTACCTGTCAGTCAGGGGGCCAGCCTGTCATCTACCCTCCTAAGTCTGTCTCTTGGGATCTTAACTACTCTACCTGCTTCTCCCATCTTCAAAATCAGCCCGACAGCTCTCCCAGGGCCTTCTGCTTCCTGACTGACCCACACCATCAGTGTGATTCCAGTTATAGCAAACACCTTCACCACAGGCTGTGTCAGGCTGCTTCACACACGACCTTCCCTGTGCTCCTTCACGTCTGAGGCATCCAGGGTGTATGCACTTCACATCCAGACACTTTAAACATTAGGCTTTCTGTAGTGCACCCGATATTCGATAATCCCCAGGAAGCAAGGGATTGCACCTTACGTTTGTTTACCCAAAGGAAATGTAGAGCTGTATGAATCCACTAAAATCTTGGTTGTCGTATATACATCAAACAAGCAGCTGAAACATGCAAGAGAAACAGACTGCAGTACATTTTCCATAAAGGACTCTGAGGAGTCCAGGAGGAGGGTCTTAATAAGAGTGCCAATCGCTCATCTTGAACCCTAGAGCCTCCTGCCCTAATGTCTGTTTCCTCCCCAGTCCCAGGAGAAAACCTTAACAAAGGCCACATCTCTGAGTTCCGGCCCGGTGATTTTCCTCCTTTACTCATTAATTACTAAGGACCCTGATTTAAGGTCTCTAGGTGGTGTTCCGGGTCAGTAAATCACAAGAGCTTTCTTCTTTCAGAAAGTCTTTCACTGGCTCCCACAATCCAGCCTCCATTTTAACAAACCACCTCTTAAAACTCAGTGTCTGCTGTATGGTCTCAGGGGATAAGGCGGTCTACTGATGTCCCTTGAGCCCTGAGGATCATGCCTAGACTTTCTGCTTTGTCGGAGGCATACTTCGCTGTACTTACTGTATTTTCTTAACAATATGTTTGTTAAAGCATGGTTATTTTTGGATATTTAAGGACATGGTGCTCTGAGAAACTCTCTACTAACCAGTTTGCATCATGCCTCTCAGCAACTAGCCCCATCCACTACAGTCGGCTTCTACTCCTGTCTGCCTTCAAGCTGTGAAAACAACCTGCTTGGAGATGCACTCTCTCCTGCTGTCTTCACCCTGGGGTGAGAGCTCACCATGAACTCCTAGAGTGTGTGTCACAGAAGACACAGGAGAGTACCAATGTCGGCAGGCACCATTTCCTAAGAGGCACAAGGGAGAGACTCAAAGAGAAGGCCAGGCTAGACCAGGGCTTGTTCCACAAGCCATGACATTGGGTGTCATTATTCCTGAGACCTAGCCTAGACAATCTAAACTTTCTCCTATTAATTATGCCGAGAGCTGCAGTATTTGCTCAGATACTGGAAGGACATTTATTGCTTGCTTCCCTGTCTCTTCACAGGGGACTTAATCGAATCTAAAAGAGGGATGGAAGGCATAAAAAAGAAACATTTTTCAAGTCTAATTTGTTAAGCAGTTTTAAAAAAAGCTAGTTGTTTTTATTATATATTGTATTACAGATACAATATATAAAATATAACTTGTTAAAATATATTTTAATTTATATATACTTTAATATATATTATATATATTTTTTTTTAATATATATATGTATGTATGTATGTACACACACACACACACACACACACACACACTAGCTTCAGTCCTTACCTGTCAGTCAGGCGGCCAGCCTGTCATCTACCCTCCTAAGCCTGTCTCTTGGGACCTTTACTACTCTACTTGCTTCTCCCATCTTCAAAATCAGCCCGACAGCTCTCCCAGGGCCTTCTCCTGACTGACCCACACTTTTACTTCTGGGCTTTTGCTTCTCTCTTTCCACACTGGGGCCACACCTTCGGTTCAGGCATGCTATCTGGACTCTAAACTTCCTCCAAAATTACTTTAAACTTACACCTTTCTTCTTTTACAGCAAGTGAGACATGTTTTACATTTTTGACTCTTAGTTTGTGACTCTTTCTTTCATTTGACTTCCCAGCAACAGTGGGACCTAATTACTGCCTGAACCTTGAAAATAGTACATATCCCACTGCAGCATCAGGCCCTGTGCTAGAGGCTGCCTGACCCGGCAGGGTCGAGCCATGCTGCTAACCCACTTCTTAGCTCCAAGTTCACCATGACCTTCAATGCTGAAAAGAGACCGCTCTCAGATACTAAACATTTCTCTTCTATATACCTCAGTTCTTCAAGGCTCAATCTGTCTTGATAAATCGTTACTTTTCTAAGAATCCAAACTAGACTAGCATTTGTCCCAAAAGCTAGGATACAATTATCTGTAAACAAACAAATTTATGAAGCACTCAAAATAAATCTTGAAGTCACTCAACTACTAAAGAAAAGTATTTATAATGGCAGGCTGAAACATGATCATAAGAGTTTTACAAAGTAACAATTTAACCCCCTTGAGTGTTTCTTTAGACTCAGGGTGCAAGACTTTACTATGAAGCAAAAACCATCAATCAGCTATATGGTAGGAAGGCCAAAGAGGTACACACGTGTTTGGATTAAACTTCATCCACAAATTAAACCTTGTTCAGGGGAACTGAAGAGGGAAAAGAGGTACCGAACCAAAGAAACTTTGGCAACAGAGAAATGCTAACTCCTAGCTCTCAAATGAGAGACTGTACTCACACACATGAGATCCGTTTAGAAGCATGAACATACCTGTTTTAGGATGTATTGAGAAGAATCCTTGCGGATTCCCACTTGTAATTCTGTACGTCAACTTGTCACTGGAGCTGGAATCTGGGTCAAAAGCCTCAATCTGAACCACGGATACATCCTTGGGTGAGTTTTCCATGATTTCTGGATAGTACACAGGCTCTGATGTCTGTGGTGCGTTGTCATTGACATCCTCCACCTCTATGTAGACTTCTATGAAGGACGACAGAGGCACTACACCCTGGTCTGTGGCATAGACTGTGAGCCAGTAGTGGGAAGTTGACTCTCTGTCCAGCCGGTCTGACGTCTCTATAACACCTAGAAAGCAGCAGCCAAAGAAGAAAGTTAACGACAAGCACAAGATGCCACTTGTGTCTGAGAACGACTTTCCTCGTGGCTTATGTGTCACTTACAAGGAGATGCATGAACTTCAGCACGTCTTTGTCCCTCAGTTTCCCTGAATAAGGGATGGAGATAACTGCCTACTCCCTAATGGCTGAATAAATGAGTTAATACCTATGAAACAGTTAAATATGCAGTATATAATATAGACTAAAGAAGTATTAACAATTACTAGTGTCAAGCAGATCACTTTAAAAATCTATGATCTTAAGCTGAGATTAAAATCATGCGTATGGATCTCTGTGATTTTGAGGCCAGCATTGTCTACAAGGACAGCCAAGGATACACAGTGAGACCCTGTCTTGAAAACCCCAAAAGGCAAAAACAAACAAACAGAAAGTCTATGATCTAAGCGTGAAAGTAACCCAGGAGATGGGCACGAAGAGATCATCTCATGGTCTAATACGCTGTTTTCCAAAGATAAAACTTGTGGCTGGTTGATATGTGTTGAGTTTCATGGAGATTAAGCAGGAAACCAAAGACAAACCGGAGTGAGGGCTCAGTCCCACTCAGTGAACCATAGCCCAGGAACAGAGACCAAGAGTAACATTCCTCTAGACATCTAGGGTAATTGGAGTAAGGCTACCAAATCCTCAAAAAAAAAAAAAAAAAAAAAAAAAAAGCTAAGGAGAAAAAATAGGAAAATTTTGCAAGCCTAGCATAAGAGACTGCTCAAGTCTCTTACATGATAAACCTCTTAACATCTTTAGTCATCTTAAGCAAACAGACAACATGTATGTTCTTAAACATAAATTCTCACAGTCACATTCCAAGGGTATATCTTTCCTAGCTGCTCCTGCTATTTCTGGTTCCTCATATAAAACACAGCTACTATGCACTTAATGAATAAACTGCCCAAGTATCTTGGCTGGAGCTAGGATACAGAGTCTTCCATTGAGACCCAAATTAGGACACAGTTTTTACTGAGAGAACTGGGAAGAGGGGAAGCATATAACCACTGGGGGGAAAAAAAGACTCAATAGGATTGGTGTATTTTGGCTCAGTTACAGAAATCTACTAAAACATCAATTCCAGAATCGTCCCCCAACAAAGTGATTAGAAGTGGAAATGTAAACTCTCTTCAGCAAATTTGGCCTTTCATTTACGGGTGGGTATAGTCTTGGCTTTCAGCTCCCAGAATGATTGGTCATTGTGAACTGATGACACCTTCAGCGTTCAACGCCATGCACCTGACTACACTTCAGAACTCCTCCAACCTCAGAATCACTGCTGTTCCCCTTCCCATGCAGAAATGCAAATCCAAGGACCCCTATGTTCAACAGTAAGACAGAATTTATTTTAAGCACTAACCCGTATTATGCACTTAAATTATCAAACAGACCCCTTAACTGTATGCAACACAACATTTTAAAACGTGGATACGCTATAGAACGGCTCAGTTGAGCTAATCAACTATGCAGATAGTCCCTCTTGTGTGTATTTGTGTGTTTGGGGGGGGGAAGAATAGCTAATGTTCATCAAATTTTCAGACACAACACATTGCTATTAACTATGGTTAAAAAAGTCCTTGTATTTAGGATTACTTAAAATTTAAATCCTTGCTTATTTGGGTGTGTAATATCAGAAAAAGTCACAGCGTAATGAATAACCGAATGCAAAGTGCACTATCTTAAAATATATGTTTACAGCCATATAGATATAGATATAGATATAGATATAGATATAGATATAGATATAGATATAGATATAGATATATAGATATAGATATAGATATAGATATAGATATAGATATAGATATAGATAGATAGATAGATATAGATATCTTTGCTTAGAAGTTGATAACACCCAAAATGATTCCCCCTTTTCTCTAACCCAAACGCAATCTCCATGTATTTGACAATGCACTAAGTTAGTAAACCATAACTGTTTGCATCTTGAACAAACACATCTTTTCTATCCCCCCTTGTTGATTGCAAGCCATCACTTTACCCAAGGAAGTCAGAGACGCAGGCTGATTCCCCCTACAAGGGTTACACACCAACACAAGGAAGGCACAGATGCTGCTGACGCTCCCGTGCTGCCGCTCTATTAAAATGCAATTAAATCCAGCGGACAAGTGAAGTATTGTTAGAACATGTCAAGCAGACAAGACGCATGGTGGTTCTACCCCCTGCCTCTCACTTCTAACCACCAAATATTTCATGCTGCTATCTTTCTTTTTCATCGTAGGCCTCTCGATGTAATTATAAGCTCATAAAGCAATGACAAGTCCATAAACAATTTGTTCCGGATTCACTCTATGCCAGACATCGTGGTAGCCCCACACTGAACCTTGCATCTTTTCTGAAATGCCTCAACTAATGATGCTATTGTCTCCACATCACGATTCAAACTTCGGACGTGAGGAACAGTCCCAGGGCCCCAGTACAGGGCAGAGCATTGAAATCCAGCTCCAGCAACAGTTCCTGGTCAGGTCTATTCTGAGGACAATGATTGGAGGATGAAAAGAACTTCATGTGATTGCCTTGAAGACACAATAGGCTTCAGATCCCATGCACCTTGTTAATGTCAATATTCAGGTGAAGATTATACATTCAGTCAAATACAATAACTTTGAGGGAAAGACATGAAATGAAAGCATGTTACGATGGACAACAGGTTATTTGCCTTCCCTCACGTTTTTTTTTTTTTTTTTTCTAGTCTCATCTATGTACCCTTCTACTTAGAACTGGTTCTCCCATCCAATCAACAGAGCACAGGGCAAAGGTCATGTTCCTTTTAATGTGAACCCCTCCCAAGAACTCCTAGCTATGGCCAGGAGAATAGCTGGGAATAAAGAAAGGTCGAAAACAATGTTATATCAAATATTAATTAAGAAAGTAAGACTAAGGAGCGAGATGCCTGCTTTCCTATGACACAAAGTCACTGGTTGCAGAGATAGACCACATCTCCTTAATCAAGCAGGGGTTAAGAATCTAGTCCATCTTTCACAGAAAGCATCTCTAAAATAATCCACATGCCAGTCATCTAGAAGTATGACTAAAATAATGTTTATTCTTTGAGTCACTCAGAGTCCTTACTCCTGTAACCAATACAGCTGCCACCAACACAGGGAAAAAAGTCACAAATAAAAATGCCTGCCTTCAAGCCATCACTGGGTGTGAATTAGACAATTATACTCATTCTTAAAATTCTACTCCTCTTCTAAATCCTCTTGCCCGTGAGTCAACTTTCAACTGCTGATAACCAGCAATAACTTTTCTTTGTATAAGAAGTTACAAACTCATTCTTCCTAGGAAAAAGTAAAATGTATAGTCTTTAAAGATTTAAAACAAAAAAATGAATCTTTATCTTTAGACTCTCTCAGAGTTTGCATCCTGTCTTCAACAACCTGTTGTTTTCCCCCCAGAACTGTCTGTTCCTAGTTATAATTTCTCATCTTTCATTTATTGGCTTTTAAAACAAAAACAGAACGGTTGCTATGAGACAGAACCTCCTGCCTCTCTATCAGGTGCTGGGATTATGGGTACAAATCACCATGCCTGGCTCTTTCACCTTTTAGATAGCAGTGACAGTATGCAATTAGAGGACAGATATGGCCAGAGTGTCAAGAGGAAGACGTAATCCTGTCTTGTAGAGAATTCCCTCTAGCCAGATGCAGAAGGAAAATCCAGTTAAAACAGGGAGGAACCAGGAAATCACAGGATTCTTATCTTGTGAGGAATGTGGGAGTCACACAGGATGACCAGGGACTTTCAATGACAGACATGCTGTGCACAGAAGACAGCCCAGACATGCCTGTGCTCTGCAATGTGGTATAATCAGGAATTGTTCCCTTACTTTAATGAAGTATTTCAGAAGCCTAAGTGCCCAACTTTTAAACCTTGAGAATACAATGAAGACATTTTCCAAAAAAGGCTGCTCATAAGCTGAACAATCTGAAAAAAAAGCTGGAAATCTGAAACCATTAGCTAAAACTATTTATCATTCCTAACATGCTTCATGGGATTGCAAAGCCACCACCAGATGTCACTATGGAAACTGACTTTAAATATGCATCTGTTGAAATCACTACTATGCTGAAGGGAAAGAAAGATCATGTGATTTCTAAAAGAGCATTCAGCCATAAATGGGATGTCTTTTATCAAATTGCTCCCCTAGAGACTTAGGATCTATGTAGAGGAGGAGGAGGAGGAAGAGGAGGAGGAGGAGGAGGAGGAGGAGGAGGAGGAGGAGGAGGAGGA